CAAATACCAAATCCAGTTACTACGTGATGCACATGCCTTATAAAGTAAACAGAAAACTTCCTTTACCTCCCCTGAGAGAGCTAAATCCTTTATTTGTGCCCCACATGCTCTCCATCCCAGACAATACAGCTCACAGTAGGAGGGTTTCAGCAATGGAGACAGCGCTGTCAATCTAAAAAAGTAGTTGGTAGGACTAGGTGTGACCAGGTGGTGATTGACAAGCTACAAGTTTGTGAATCTGCAGTGAAAATAGCCATCCCTTGCAACATTTTTTACTCCACTATAATGCAAACAGGTGTGCTCTGAATTCAGGAGCAGTGCAGCATCATTGCCACACCATCTCAGAAAACTGTATTAGGCAGACTTCATAAGTCCAGAAAAAGATGAATCAGCACGTTCACCGGGGTACCTTTAAACGTCACTTTTAATTCACATATTTAAAAACATCTCAGCAAAAATGTAAAACAATCAATCTCCTTTAAAAGAAACATTTCTACCTAACAAGGTTTTGTTCACAAAACTTATTAGTGTATTAGTGTACCCTGGATGACCCTGAAGACTGATTGTAAATGGTATTGATTCTGTAAGTAGCAGATTGGGAGAATATAAATACTTCTTTCTTCAATCCCTGGTGCAACAAAGGTACTTTATACCTGAGGGATACCAAACATCTCATACAAGAATTGGAAGGATTTAAATTTGATGAGAATCATAAAAACTATCTTGTAACAGTGGATGCTGGATCCCTATACACTATTATTGACCATCTGGAAGCCCTTGTAGCAGTTGAATGGTTACTACAAAAGAACAGTACTCTAGAGGAAGAGCAGAAAGAGTTTATTTTAGAAGGATTACAATTTGGTCTTGTAAGGAATTATTTCTAGTATGACCAGAAATGTTATAGACAAAAGAGTGGCCATGGGGGCAAAATTTTCCCCAAGCCTGGCAAACGCCCTAATGCTGAAATGGGAGACAGAAACCTTTTTACACAATAGACGAGCGGAGTTGCAAATTTATAAGAGGTTGCTCGATTATTTATTTCTATTCTGGAATGGAAGTAAAGCTAGCTTAGACCATTCCCTTTAAAGTGTAAATAATAAATGACAAAAATATAGTTTTCACATACCAGGTTCATCAGACACATATCCACTTCCTAGATCTAGAGATATTGATATTTATTGAGGATGGTCACCTCCTAACCAAATCCTTTTTGAAAAGCACAAATAGGAATAGTTATATTTTGTTGTCACCGTCTTCTGTGGCTTCGGAACATACCAAGATGTCAAATACTCAGAATAAAAAGAAATTGTTCCAGGGATATAGATTTCAAGACACAGTTGGATATGCTCGGGAATAGATGTATATAAAAAGGTTATGATAAAGCTAAATATTCAACAGCAAATTAACAAGATTGTAGAATTACAGAGGGAATATGTCTTGAAAGACACGATAGATTGTACGCCCTCTCGGGCAGGGCCCTCCTTACCATCTTGTCTTGAATTGTATTGTGATTGTAATGTCTTCCTTATATTGTAAAGCGCTGCGCAAACTGTTGGCGCTATATAAACCCTGTATAATAATAATAATAAATCAAGGAGAAATACAAAAAATTCAGATATAACCCTGGTTATGGATTATAATGCCCAATATAGGAGTATTGAAAAAATGATAAGACACTGCAATGTATTACAGCTAGATAAAGCTTAAAAGGAGGTATTACTGCGATACACTGCAAAGCCAAACATATTGTACAAAAAAGGTAAATCATTGAAAGATATTGTAATCAAGCAGTGTCATAAATCCTCTACTTAGAAAAGGAATTACTACTTTTTTGGACCTGGTTGAATTTTACACATGTCGACGGTGCTATGCATGTAGACATACAGTGAATATTGTAAATAGGAGGAAAGATTTTAGAATTAATACCTATAACAAGAATATGAAAATTCAAGATTTAATTTCTTTTTAAAACTAAAAGAGTTATATGTGGCCTGGAATGTATATGTGGCTTACAGTATATTGGCCATGGCCGTATCACTAGGAAGTTAAGGTTTAATGAACATGTATATAACATCAGATGGGGGTTCAAAAAAACATTGGGGGGAATTGATCAAAACTGGAGCAGACAAAATCTGGAGCATATTTGCACTGCAACCAATCAGCTTCTCAGTCTCATTTTCAAATCTTACCTGAGCAAACTGAAGAGAGATGCGGATCGGTTGCCATGGCCAACTGCTCCAGATTCTGTCTGCTCCAGTGTTGATAAATTCCCCCCATTATGTTTGAAAACATTTCCTAGTTACAAGTTCACAATAAGGATCCCAGACACTTATGTTTTTGAGGGATTAAAAGAAGTACAAAAGCATTGGAGAAAGGAGCTTGCTAAAAGAGAGACAAGTTGCATATATCAGGAAGGCACCCTGAAGCCTAGAGTATTAAATATAGACTTTGACATAAATTGTTTCATTAGTAATGCGTGAATCAGTTTGGGAGTTATGTGATTGTAGACATGTGTAAGGGTTCACAGTGGTTTACAGTCTTGTTCATAGACTGATCTGTTACCTTGAACTTTTATACTCCTCACACGGAGCCCTTTGTTTTATTTTATGTCAGCTTATCAGATTTACTATAGGACCTTCCTTAAGGGGTACGGGCATATATGAGAATTTGATGTTGGTGTGATGCTTTTATAATAATTTTATATTAATGATATTGTTTTCCTATAATATTAGTATTATCTGTTAGGACTGGTATGGGGTATGATCATTATATTAATTATTTATATAGTTTTACAGGTAAGATGTTTATCCTTGCGGGTTCTGGTTGTTTATCCATTTATATATTAATTCCTTTAATTGGTTTTAGCTATTTATGGCCCATTTTAGATATTCCATCTATATTATACAGTATATGTAAGTTATTGTGGATATCGGATTATATAACACATTTTTTTGAATACGCAGTGGATGCGCTGTTAATCTCCCTGTGCATTGATATATATGCACATTTTGTTTTATTGGTTATTCACGTTGAAGGATTGATGTATTGTATGTGACAATTTTGATCCACATTTCATCTCTGAACCTGCCCTTTTATTTACACCATATCTTAGTGTTTTGTAGACATATTAGGGATATCTATGTAAATACACTTTTTCATAGCTTGGCACATTGTGGTATTATATCCCAAGCATATCTCTAGGACAGAGTGGAGAGACACCTAGAGAATCAAGGAAAATAATATGACATGAGCAGTGGTGAACAAGGACCGTAGCTACATTGCGCCAAATATTGGGTGTGGCTTAAAGTAAAAAATTGTCAAACATTGTAATTCTGACAATGGCAGGTGCCGACTTTTAGAATACAATAGCAAGGAAGATTCCCTCATTCACGCTGTTCAGTGTTAATGGTGGAATCGAGCTAGAACAACTCTGCACTAGCCTCCTTACTGAATGTGAGTTCAGTGATGTCACTACTCCCCCAGTGTAATCGGATTTCAAATAAGAGTGCTGGCTGGAGGAACAGAGAGGGGGCGTGCACAGATGGCTCTGACTCTAGAGAGGCAAATTCATCAATGCAATGGCGCCTGATACCGCCGGCCCCCTTAAATCCCCTCAGCTGTTGACCCTCTTCTGGATGCCAGGAGTACCCTGGTCAATGGACATCCAATAGGAAGTGTCCACATCATGCAGGCACTGACGTAGACACTCAAAGAAGAACCCAAACAGGAAGTAACCAGAAAGAGTGAAGATTAGGAGCTGCTTCATCACATGAATGCAGCTTAAAGCCCATTTCCACCTTTGCGGGAGTGTTTAAAAAAAAACACATGGCAGTAATGTACACCAAGTATACAGGAAGCAGGCATATGCAGTTGCTGTATATGAACACAGATACTTACCTTTTTGTTAGCTTTCCTCCTCATATCCCCATGGAAATGTTCTCTTGCAGGCAAACTGTGTATATTACAACTGAGCTCTCTAACCCCCATGAAATTTATCCTGCATTTGGGCTTAAAGCAAATCACTGTATGCTACAAGTTGGCCACTTTGGAACATTTCCATAGACTGCACCAACTTGCATTTTAATACAGATGTCCAAATTAAATTACTGTATTTTATTGAAAACAGTAATATTACAGGATTCCTAACTAAAGAATAGCTATGTCATAATAAATGCAAGATTGAATATTTTAATACTCACTATTGTTGCGTTGTTACTGATAAAACTTCTTAATTACAATACCATAAAAACATTGCATATTTAGAATGAACATTTTGTGTTTATAAAAAAGAAAACAAAACTTTTTACAAGTAGTTCAATATTCACCAGATCTTGAATCCTCTTTCTTTTGTTGCATTTATTTGTTAAGTAATATTCAAAGCAAAGCGAAATGTTCTGCCATATGTGCTCAGCACAGCAGTAAATCTGCTGGGTAGGGAATTGGAAAAGATTTGCTAAATTTGCATGTTTAGAAATGCAATGCTAGCTGGTGACACATGTATGTGGACCCAACTGGGAATAAATTGTGGAAACCCTAGCAAAAGTTTAATAAAATAAAATGAATGAAAAGCCTTATTTAGACTTCATGGTGGGCACAATTTTGGCAGGATTGGCCTTATAAAACAATGTGGGGAAACATTATGTGTGAGACTTGAAAGAAAAATATGAATGTGTATATAAACAGTATATATTATATACTGCTTACACATAATACTTTTCCTTCAAGTCTCACAGTATGTGTGTGTGAGTATATATACATATACAGTATATATATGCACACATATACACACACACATCTAATACAAATATACTGTGTAAATATGTATGGAACCCAGTGCTAAAAATAGTCTCCTTTTTTTGGAATTATACAAATAAAATTCTTCTGAAGGTAACATGAACTCTTCTGTTTGGTCAGAAGCCTTTCAATAGATCCAGGCCAAAGCCTAAATTCTTGTAAACTATATAGAGACCATTCTCTTCAGCCCCCCACGGCATGCTCCGGAACATGTTGCACACCCTCAGTTCTGTTTCTTGCCTTCCTCTACAGTCTCTGTTGTTCCTTTTATGAAGAAATGTGGATTCCGCAGGCAGCGGTAGGCCAACATCTGCATTCCCAAAGTGTAGGCAGCGTTAAGAATCATGAATTCCCACCATGATTCTTGAGGGACACGATAAGTATATGATGTTCTGTGGTACACTGATGATCCCATGTGAGCAAACTGGGCCTATGAAAACAGTATGCAAAGAGAAGTTTAAAGTCATAAGTTTAGCTACAAATGATACAAATACAGTATGTATCTTAGAATGAGGAGATAAGGAAGCAGTGAATGTGACATTTATTGTATATTAAAGCACATTCACCACAAAGATTTATCTGCAGTGATTATTTGGTCAATGTCACATTCACTTCTTTATAACTACAGCCCACAGAGTTTGTTTTGTTTTTATAGGACTACTATGCATGTAACTAGAGATGCACCGATACCGATACTAGTATCCTGACTCGCCCAAATGCTCCCGATGCCTATTCCGATATTGGAACTTTCAGTATCAGAAAGCCGGGCAGCGAATCATTACTCGCCCCCCCTGGCTTCCTGATTGGCCGGAAAGCCCCCTCCATGCTCCCTTGTCACTGGGTGACGAGAGAGCATGGAGCTGGCTTCCCAGCCAATCAGGATGCTAGGCGGCGTGTAATGACTCACTGCCCAGCTTCCTAATTAGTCCAGAAGCTGACCAATCAGGAAGGCGGGCGGCAAGTCATTACCCCGATCCCCGGCTTCCTGATGGCCAGAAAGCCGGCTCCATGCTTCCTCATCACCTGATGACAAGGTAACATGGAGCCGGCTTCTCGGCCAGTCAGAAGCCGGGCCTAGGTAATGACTTGGGTCTGGCTTCCTGATTGATTGGTAAGCTGGCCAATCAGGAAGCCAGGCGGCAAATCATTACCCACCAGAAAGCAGGCTCCATGCTTCCTCATCACCTGGTGACGAGGGAGCATGGAGACTAGTCAGGAAGCCGCCCGACTTCCTTAATGGGACTTACAGTATTGGTATTCGGTATCGGCGGGTACAGAAAAAAATATCGGTACATCCCTTCATATAACCATGAAAGACTTAATGTTAGTATGTTAAAGGGAATGTATAGTGCTTTTGTATAAATTTTCTCTTTGTTTAGTATGATTAGTACATCAAATTTAACACATCATTTTAGTTGGATAAATATGAACTATTGCCTATTAATATTTTGTAATCTTCTACCCAGCCAGCAGGTGGAGCTTTAGTCTTCTTTTTAACATAATTACTTTTTTGAAGATCTGAAATAAGCTTAATGTTTTACAGAACTCAAATGAGTCCTCAGAGCAGTGATTCATCTGAAATTAGACAGGAGGTTTCCATCAGATAAGGGGAGCTGCAAAAAAAATAGCTGTTCTGTCTTTTTAGAACAGCCTATCTCAACCAGTGTGCCGTGGCACCCTTACTCATTCACAAGCGGGAGGGACCTCATCTGGGTGCTCCTTTATTAAAGGGGTACCCTGATGTGAATAAGCCCCCTGCCCGCGCCCCCACAACCAACACCCCAGGGCTTTTGGGGAAGAGGCCCGGGTCCCCATCGGCACTGGGAGGGTGCTTTTTCAGGGGCGACCCTGGAAAAGCACCCTCCCATTGTTGAGGGCATGTGGCCTGGTATCACAGGGAGGGGGGGTGCTCACTTGTCCCCCCCCTTTCCTGCCCCACCAGGCCTGTGCTCGGATCAGGGGTCTGATATTTTAGGGGGGACCCCATGTTTTTTTCCCCATTTTTGGGGGTGGGGTTTCTCATTAAAATTCCTACCAGACCTTAAGGGCCTGATATGATTTTAAGGGGGAACCCCACACAGCCAACATTCCTACCAGACCTAAAGAGCCTGGTATTGTTTGGGAGGGGGAACTGCACGCTTTTTTTTTCCTTTTAAATGTCATTTTTTTCTTTATAAATGTCACTTTTTGCAGCAGCAGGTTCTATGAATCGTACAGATTTGCCACTTCACAAGCAGTTTAAGGGGACCACCCTGCACGATATTTTTTCATTTTTATTGTTTCACTTTAATTGATGTTAAAATCACTGCTCCTTTAAAAAAATTATTTTTTAAAAGTGTTTTTTTTTCATTTATTCATGTCCCCCAGGGCAGTACCCAAATCCCCATACACTTTTTATGGCCAATAAATTGCAAATAAGCCTTCAAAATTGGGTCAATTGATTTTCAAAATTCTACCTCCATAGACTTGCATTGAGTTCGAAGTTCTAATTTGAACTTTTTCCATGTTCGAAAGTTCAAATTCGAACCGATCACGGGGGTGTTCGGCTCATCTCTGCTCCTGATGTGAGGGGGGGGGGGCTTCCGATGTGAAGGGAGCTCCTGATGTAAAGGAGGAACTCTGATGTAAAAAGGGCGCTCTGATGTGAAAGGGGGATCTTCTGGTGTGAAGAGGGCTCGTGATGTGAAGGGGGACTTGTGATTTGAAAGGGGGAACTCTGATGTGAAAAAAAGAGGGCTCTTGTATTGAAATGTTTACGTGTATAAATGGGGCTCCTGAAGTAAAGGGCGACTGTGATGTGATAGGAACAATTTCAATGTGAAGGGGGGG